AAGACCGGCCCTCTCTTCCAGGAGGACCTCGTGTCCACGGTGAGGGTGCGGGACGCCCCATGGTTGAACTAGTATAAGGTTGACCCATGAGAAGCTCATTTTCGCGGATGGAGCATGTTTTTCGCATATGACGTCACTGATCTCAATGACGTCACGGGCATTAACCAATCACCGAAATGCGTTCAAACCAGTCAACCAATCCGTCATGGGAATGACGGGTTTGTTTACGTTTCTCGATCTACGTGACGTAACAAGAAAGCTGAACTGAAAGACGGAACTTGTCGTGGGTCAACCTTATATAGTTCAACCAAGGGGACGCCCAGCGTCGTGTCGGCAGCAGCATTTGTTAGTAGCAATGATACCAATTTTGCGGACTTATACAATGGTACCAATTCAAAAATGTGTCACACTGCAAAATTTCGCAAAATTTCATAGATTGATTAACCCTGCTTTCACTTTATGGCAAAGTGTAGCCTACTCGCTTACTTCGTGGATTGGGACCCGGGCATAAAAAATTCTACGGGACCACAACCTTAATTTAAATGCGTAACTTTACGTATGAATAAAGTAGGAGTATTGATTAAAATTTTATAGGAGAGTTTTCTGTCAAATGTCACTTCCATCTGACGGTGACGACTGAGTTTTTGGCTAATGCGATTTAAACTACGTTGATTCTACGCCGACAAGTAGAAATCACACGAGAAAAGTAGAAATGTTGCAGTTCCAATACATTCATGATTATTTTCATTTGCATCCCATTGATCGTTAATTTTGCATAATTATTGCAACGATTATATTATAGTCTTCTACAAAACTAACCCAAAGTAAGAAAACTTTACAAAACATTTGCGATCCATGAGATGTTTTTTGACAATAACTAATATTTGGACTTTTTGTATATATGCCAGGACGCGTTCATCATCGACAACGGCACGAACGGAATATGGGTTTGGATCGGCAAGAAAGCGTCGGCCAAGGAGCGCCAGGAAGCCATGCGCAACGCGCTAGGATTCGTGGCCAAGAAAGGCTACAGCCCCAAGTGAGTGTTGGTCAACGGCGGTTTTGTCCCATCGTGTTGTCTATATTAGGAATATTTAGACTTTTTACTTCCGATGCATTAAAATCTCGATAATTCTGTTCTTTATTTTCTCTTCGCGACAAACTAGACATTTCTTTGTTAAGTATCTCACCGATAATTCCTCTTCAAAATAACTTTGAAATTCAAATTTTCCCTCTGAACAAAATGTATAGTTTACATTGTCTTATTAATCAGCAAGACGATTCAAGGATTATATGAAATATTTACGTTCCCGCACAATTTTTATAATTGTTTCAGTTTCCCAAGACACGCATGGTGTCATTTCGATTATTTCATTTCCTGCTCTTAGGTCTAACCTATCAATCTAGAGAAACAAATGAATTATGACTATTTCCCTTGTATTTCATATTAGTTAAACACAATTCTTCTTTGCGCTCATTTTACTCGTAATCTGGAGTTAATTATCAAAACCAAAACAATCACTATAAATGCTAGCCGTGGTGAAAGACGTGCTAAAAATATTCTCTTCTTTCAAATATTTTTTTACAAATATTTTTGCCCCTCCAGCACACGTACCACACGCGTCATTGATGGCGGGGAACCGCAAGACTTCCAGAGTCTCTTCAAGAACTGGAAAGTCAAATCGGAAACCAAGGTCGCAGGCTTCAAACCCCAAAGTAAGCCTTCCTTATTCAAATATTTTAGCCATCAAAAAAGGCTATTAAATACATAACAACATGTTTAGTCATGGCTATTTAAACTCATTGAATATTATATGTTGTAGACTTGTATTCTTTTTAAGAGAGCGTATCCACATGTGCGTGTGACATAAAGATGAGGACTGCTCATAGTTTCTTGGTTCAAGTGTCAGTGCAAGTGTCAGTTTTTTCGGTATTTTATTGCATTACATTTTGGTAAATATTACAAGATTGCAAGCAAATAAATTCCATTTTACGAATAACGTACTTAGAAGTTATTTGTTTTTCCTGAAACTGTAACTCAGGGCTTCAAACTACCATACAACTCAATAGACACTGTGTTATATTGTATGTATAAAGGAAGATAACTTTCGGACTTATTTTTCTGAACATGCATCCATGTTCAATATGAACATGGATGCAGATGGAAATGGATGCATATGAACATGAATGCATATGAACATGGATGCATGTGAACATGGATGCATATGAACATTGCTGTTTATGAACATGGATGCTTATGAACTTGGATGCATATGAACGTGGATGCATATGAACTTGGATGCATATGAACGTGGATGCATATGATCATGGATGCATATGAACATGGATGCATATGAACATGGATGCATATGAACTTGGATGCATATGAACATGGATGCATATGAACATGGATGCATATGAACATGGATGCATATGAACTTGGATGCATATGAACATGGATGCATATGAACATGGATGCATATGAACATGGATGCATATGAACATGGATGCATATGAACATGGATGCATATGAACAT